ATTATAGTAATTGTTTCTAATGATTGAATTAAGATATTTGTAATAGTTGTTATACTAACATAACTGGCAAGTTATGAGACATCAGTATAATTGATTACACAGAAGAATGCAAACTGACATTAGACAGTTCAAATACTAGATAAATTCTTGTAACAATATAAATTTGTTAAAATAAGAAAACAAGAAGTCTATTTAAGAAGATCTAAATAGAAAGGTAGTATGAATTTTCAATAATATTATTGTAAAGATTAAATTACTAGAAATAAATATCAATATTGAAGTATCTAAACAGACAAAAACTTCTAGATTGAAAGTTTCAGAAATACTACTAATCAGATTGCTAATACAAACTTGAAAAAAATATTAGACTAATCTAATATATCAATAAACTGATCATAGTTCTATACAAGTTATTTAGATTGGGAATCTGAAAAACAGACAGAAATATACTAAAGTATTAGAAATATGCTATAAAATAGATGTTGGAATTCAAGTGAACTTTATAAAAATATAGTAGTTAAAAATAAAAATTCTGATCACAAGTGTTGGTTCTATTATAACAATATCAAATTAATTATAAAAATATGTACAAAAGGCTTTAAAAGGTTTATCTTAAGAATAAAGTAGTTCTAAGTTTGAAACAATAATCTGATTATAATCTAGTAATGTTAATACAAATGCAGGTTCAGAGTATTTAAAATGAAACATCTAAGCAGAGGTATTAGATACAGTAATTGATAGAAAACCTTTAAACAATTTCTTAAATAGGTAATATAAAGAAGTTATATATAAGTTAATTATAGATTCTTTTTATAATAATTTACAAGAATTACATTATCAAAAAAGTTATTAATAAAAGTCAAAAAATCAAAGAGGTTACTTTAAAAAAAATAAAAATAAAAATTACACTTACAATATTATTTATATAAAAAATAAAGTTAAAATAAACTTAGTTAATATATATATTCTGTTATATACCTATTGTCTAGTTTATTTATCTATTCTTTTAAAGGTGTTTTATAAGTTTTTATTAGTTTAATAGTATTATTAAATATTTGTACAATCTTTTTATTCAGAATTTCTAAGTAAATTTTTAACTTTTTAGTTTTATTGCTTTCTATATCTAGTGGTTTTATTGTAAGTTTGTATTGAAGTCTTATTTAATACTAATTATTAACATTTTTTTATATATATGTAATATTACTTTTTATATAAATATTATGAATTTTTATTCAAAATAATGTAACTAAAGATTATAGATATATTTTAATATATAAATTATCTTTATACTAGGGGTTATTAATAACCTCCTATATAATATGCATACATAGTTGCATAAAACTCATCATATATATGGTATAGTAATAGACAAAAATAGTAAAAATGAGTTAGTTTTGTCAGATGCGAGTAATTAAACTTTAAAACAAACAAATAAATAGATACTTAATCACAACATAGTCAAATTTCTTTTATTTTAGTTGGGTAAAATCAATGTTTAGTAAATAGAACAAATAATCGAGAAAAAGTAAGCATGTACTTTGATAAATACAGTATAAGCTTCTTTTATGCTTCATCATACTTGTTAATATTAATTTTGATAAATATTTTTTATTGCTTATTACTTATGAGAGGTTTTTAGGATTTATACATGTTCTTTTTTGATTTTCTTATATATCTTTTTATAATAAACTTTTTATTTCAATATTTGCCTTAAATTTTGTCTTGAATTTTACCTGTTACTAACTAAAATTTTTTAGATTTACATAAGTTGAAAAAGTAAGCATGTACTTTAATAAATACAGAATAAACCTTTTTGTATTCATCATATTTGTGAATATATTAACTTTGACAAATATTTTTTTATTGCTTATTTCTGACTTATCATTTATTATATTTTTTTTTTAGAATTTATATGTGTTTTTTATTACTTTCTTACATACATAGCTTTCTTCAAAACTTATGATCTTTTACAGTAAAATTCTTGTTTTAGGTACTTTGCTTTGAATTTTACTATTTTTTACTAACTTATATTTTTTTAAGCTTATGTGTTTTTCATATAAAAGTTATAATCTTTTATAGCAAAAATTTTGGTTCAGATGTTTTACCTTAAGCTTTATACCAACAAAGTTTTTTTTTTAGGTATTTGAAATTCAAAATCTTATAAAATTTTACAAAGATTATATAAATAACAGAATTTTGTACATACTGAAGATGATATTGAATTCACTTTATCTTCCAACAAGTATATTATTGATACCTTGTCTATTGTCAGATATATTAATGAAGATGATGTATTTGAGAGTAGTGAACATGAAAATGAGCTTGATACTTTCTTTGTAATTAAAAATGCTAATGATACTTTATTTGAAAGTAACAATCCTGAAAGTGAGTCCAATATCCTAACTGTAATCAGAAATGTTGAAGACAACATATATAAAAATAGAGATTCAAAAAATAAGTCTAAAAACAGTCCTCTGAAAGAAATATATACTGGGCAGACCTTTATTTCTTTTGAGATACTTGAACAAAGTTTGAAACATTATTCTATCTGAATAGGTTTTAAGACAAAGATAGTAAACTTGAAAAGAAAATGATGTTTGTTCTAAAAAAACATATAAATATCGACACAGAAATAAATTTTCACTTAAAAAAAGAAGTTAGATTCTATAACAAATAAAAATCAGAAATTAGCATGTATAGATTGTGGATTTGTATTAAATGCTTCATATAAGAAACAGTCAAATCTTGTATTTGTTAACAAGTTTATTGAGGAATGCAATCATATGTTAAAAGACAGTAATTTATTTTATTTTCATCAGCATTACAAAAAATACCTATACATATAAAGAAAGAAGTTAGATTTTATATTCAAAAATACAATTTAGAAGCAATTGTTTTAAAATGAATATTACAAAATAGGTTTTTTGACCAAGAAATTTATAATAGGGACCTTTACAATATGATAAGTAGGTTTAAGGCTAATAACCAAACTAAGAATGATGCTTTAATTTTATATGAATCTCTAGTAAGGCTACAGCAAGAAAATTCAAATTGGTATTTTAAAGTCAATTTTGAAGTCATTGATAATATACTTTCTAGATTTTTTTGAAAATTGCCTGATCAAAAAAGTTTGTAAGCCAGATTTTATGATGTCATTATTAATAACAATATGTGTAAGATGAATAAATATTTGATGTCTCTAAGTATATTTATTATAATTGACTCAAATCAACAAAGCCAAATTATGACAACAGCTATAGTTTGTGATAAGACAGTATCAACTTATGAGTGGATCTTAGAACAAACTAAGTTAGCAACTGGTAATCTTCAACTAATGACAATATTTATAGATGCAGATCCAGCAATGCAAGTGGCTATATCTAATAGTTATTCTAAAACTATTGTTCAGTATTTTGCTTATATATCTTGTTTTTTATTTTGGTTATATATTTGACTTTATTGGTATTTTTAATATTTTGTCTTTTGTTTAGACATTATGTATTTCATATTTAGCAAAATCTAGTTAAAAAGGTCAAAAAAAAGCTTCATGACAAGTGAGATGTATTCATTTCAGATTTTTATACTTTTTAAAATTTACTTGCAATATCTGATTTTGATCATTGTTAGATAAATCTAATAGAAAAGTATTCAGAAATTTAAGGGTACTATGACCAGATATTATATTCTACAAAAGAATGCTAGATATATGCTTTTACAAAGCAGAATTTTTCAGCAAACACCCATTCAACACAATGTGTTGAAAGCATAAATTATATTATAAAATTGGAGGCCAACTCTGAAAACTCTTTATGTTAACTTCAAGCAGAAATTAAATTACAACTCAAAAATGAAGCCAAATATGCAAGGTTACAAGAGTTCTGAAATATGAATCTTACAACAGGTCTTCCTTACATTTTTAATATGTTTTTTAAAAATATTGATGATATGTACAAAATACATCTTATACCTAATTCATTAGCTTTGCAGCAAAGACAAATATTAAAAAGTCTTTTGTATAAGGCTTTCTTATATGCTAATAAGCTTGACATAAACATAAATCAGAAAAGTTTTTGTTTTTTGTATGTGTTTTATTTTATTTAGTTGAACTATAAATAAAGATCATATTGTACACTTTATTTAATTAGAAGTTAAATTGTTATAATATAAGATTTATAGAAAATGATTATGAAGAACCATAGATTTTATTAAATATGGCTCTGGATGACTGTGATAGAATTAGTGTGCATGAAACTTGGGAAGTTAAACATATTCAAAACACAACGAACCATTTATAATTTGTCTTATTGCTTGAAGATAGTACATACTATTATATGTGTTTATATTTAGTCTATACTGAATTTGTTTGCTAACATTTTTTTGCTATTATGATATACTCAAAAAAAGCATTTTTTAATATAAAGCTGATTCCTTCTTATTGGTATTCTGAAGAAGGTCTTGTAATATTTGAAAAAATTCAAGGATCATCTGTTCAGATAATACAAAATAAAGATGAACTACTTTCAACTAGTATATTACAAGCATTAGAAAGAATTCATAGACAAGAGACTAACATCAGAAATGTAATGGAATTAGATTTAAAAAAAGTTTCATATGACCATGGTCTTAGGCTTTGTAAAAAGGCTTTAAATATAGCAATCAAAAATGATTCTAATAATGTTTTAGAAGATATTTTACAATAATTTATTAATAAGCATGTTTTAGTACAAAATAAAGATTTATCTAAGCAAGAATTGAATCAAGAAAACAATAGCTTTAATATTTCAAATCTATGTTAACATAAAGGTAAAGGTTATTCTGCAAATAAAAGATACTTATCAGTGATTGAGAATCATAATAGCAAGTATGTTGGTTTGAGTAATCAAAACAAAATTTTAGCATCAAGACAAAAAAAGAAAAACAAATATCAGTGTACTATATATAAGTCATAGTATCATGACTTTCAAAATTGCTCTGAAAAAATAGCTTTATTAGATTAAGCAGAAGGCGAAATAGTAGATGAAGCTTTTAAATAGTATTAATAAGTTCATGTTTATATAGAATTTATAAATCCTATGTTAATTTGATTTTATGTTGCTTATCTTAGTAAAAATAAAATGTAATGTTAATTTGAGTTATTTAGTTATATATGTATAAATCAATTTTGTTGTATCTAAAATTTTTATATTGAAATTCAGTGAAGTTTAATTTAAATATGAAAATTTGATTTGAATATACTGCACTAGATATTAATGCTTTTTTAAGAGTTAGGATAAAGATAAAGATTAGTAATATACTTTCTTTGGATTAGAGGTTAGAGTAGATTATAAGAAAATAGCTTTTTAAAAATTTTTTTTTTATAACAGGACTTTGGTTTAATACACTATATTTATATAATTATTTAGTCGATTTACAAGTTAGAAGATTAGCATTTCTTATTAAATACACATATATAGTATAGTATTGCATATATTTATAAGGTTATCATGATAATTTAAGTGATACAAAAAAATTTTATTGAATTGTTACTATATAAGTTACTAAAATTTTGCTTGCATGTTTCTTTTTTTTAATTATAGCTATGCTGTGTATCTTTTATCAGCATTACACAATAATGATAAAGTTAGCTTCTATGTTACTAATTATAACTTGGTATTAGTTTTTTTTTGGTATTAAGGTAAGGCCTTGTTCATATCTTTATTAATAATTTTAACTGTATATTTTAGTATATGAGTACTAAAATTAACTAAGGTTGTTTGTAACAAAATAAAAATTATATGTAAGAATAAGAGCTTAGACTAGTTTATCTACAACCTAAACTGATAGTTTGGTATTGGTGTTGTATATTGATATTAGTAAAATTACTTAAAAAGTTTGAACATGTTTAAACATTCAGAACAGATATTGAATAAAATATGCCAAAATTAGAGTTAAAAAATTTCAAACCAACTGTTTTAGATTTTTTAATCTTGTTAGCTGTTATTATATTGTAATACTATATTTGGCTTATCATGTAATATAATATTATATGAATTTTATTAACTTGCACTATTATGTAATTTTATTGTCTATTCAATTATATGATTTATTGCTATACAATTACTTGAACATTCCTATATAATTACATAATTTTTGCTTTAAATTTAATTGGTTAATCTAGGAAGGTTATTAATAATCCTCAATATAAATTATAAATATTCTTATAGTAATATATAAATAATTTAATTAAGTAAATAATATTGTAATAAGTTCTTTAAGAATGAAAATAAAAATAGAATAAATTAGTTTAAATAGAATAAAGATTGATTTATTAATTGTAAAATTTGTTTTATAGATAAGATTAGTTAAAAATTTAAATCTTTTGTCTACTAAAGTTTTAATTAAATATTTATTATTAAGTTTGAATTTAGAAATTTTTTTAGATACTGGTTAGGTAATTTTTTCAAGGTAAATATTTATAAAATGTAGTTTAATAAAGTTAAATAATTCTTGGATGGTAAGATTATTAAATTTGATGTTGTATTTTATGGAGTTAAATTTGAATTGTATTTGAATACTTAATATTAATTATTAAAGATAAATCTTAATTTAATTAAGTTAATTAATCTTAAACTCTTAAGTAAAATTATTATTCTAACTGAAATACTATCTAATTTTTATAAAATAAAAAATTAAATATCTTAATAAAATTTTAAGCAACTAACTTTAAAGTTAAATATTCATTTATAGTTTTTTTGAATCAAATTGAATGGTTGCCAAATCAAATCAAATTTGACCATATTTGAATTTGAATTGATAATTTTTGTATTTGAATTTGATTCGAGTTCAAATATTTGGTCGAATCAAATCAAATCAAGAAATCCTAATGAAAACCAATGAATTAATTTTGCATGACCTTAGTTTGATTTTACAACAAAATTATTATGAAAAATCTAGAAAATGTATTACAAGGCACATCTCCAAGCAACATTCTATGGCTAATTGCGTAATACACAAATGAACAATTCTCGTCAACATAATACAATCCTTTCCAATAATTTGACTTCTCCGGAAATTTTGATTTTTACTAGAGGTTTTGCTTTCAGGGGGTTCGCCTTTTGCTAGAGTTTCACCACTTCGCCTTTCGTCAGTTTCGAAAGGCAGTTTTGCCTAACTGTAGCTTCAACTTTACCAGGGTTTCGCTGTTTTTTCAGAGTTTTGCTGGTTCCATATTTCGCCGGGTTTAGTTTCTTTTGCCAAAAATACTTTCGGATAACAACTACTCCCCCACGTATGACATTAGCTAGTCTTACATATTTTTATTATGCCACATAAGAAATCTCTGACCCCTCTCCCCAAGGATATTATGTAATATCTACGACTAAGATTACGCAAAGCTTCATATTGTTAGCCGTTTAGCGTTAGCCGATATTTAGTCTACTGGCTTAGCAGCCGACTAAAACCATGTAACAACTCGGTTATTCAATGCATGCCCATGCATTAATACATATATGGGATCTTTGCTAGCAAAATGACCCTACGAGCCATTGTTACACGAGATTTTTATTAGGAAAATCATAATAAATCTATCTTTAGAAAAAAAAATCCTAGCAGATCGGATTTACTATTTGTGCCATAGAATTTAATTTCATAAAGTGCGTAAATATAGAAATTTAGATTAGGAAGTTAACATTAGAGGCTATAAAAATAGATTATCACTCATTATATGTATAATTTCGTTTCCGTCATTTTTAATTAGTGCACCAAAGTCGATTTAGACACTAGTATTGTTTTTTTCTTTCTCACGCGTTCAGAATTCATGCCGGAATGTTCAAGTTTTGAACACATTTATTGGTTGTTTCATTTTTAGGTTTAACCTTAACGATAATTATCGAAAAATTTAATAGAAAAATTAGTCAAATATTTCAAAGGACTGAAAATATTATTACTAGAATAGAAGTCATATATTGGATTCTGATATTAATTTGTTTATGCTTAATCTTCGTTGTCCAACACATAACCATTTTCGTGCCATATTGAATTCTTAGTCATCTTTGTAAAAAGAAGTTAATACAATGGCATAAAATAAATAAACATTTACTTAGTGAATGAATGTAAAAACAAAATTTTCAGATAAGCTCCCAAGTTTTTTACATAATACTGTAATAGGAAATTAATGTTACAGTATACATAAACTGTACATAATTTTGTATTGCAAGTTTTGATAAGAGGTTTCACTAATTATCAAGACAATATGTATGAATCAACTTACTTATTAAGGTAATATTGTCTTAATACTTTGCCTTTACTCTCGTGGAGGACTTTTTTCTTTTGCAGTAACAATGAAAAATATGATCTCACATAATAGCTTTAATTTACATCACAGTAGTCCATTTTTTTTCTTATGCGCTTGCGCTTAAAGAACACAATCAATAAATTACTATTATGCGGCACTAATGGGCGCAATTATATGTAGACTGGATTTCCACGTACGTACATATGTACGGACGTACGTACGTGTGTGTACAGCACATTTGTAGTAATCGAAAAACATTTTCTCGGAGGAAATGTAAATATTTATTTTTGTAAGGCCTGATAACATGATTGGATCCAAACGAAACAATATTAACATATCGATCAACTTACTTCCTTCATTGTTCTCGTGTGATCGGTTTAACAAATAATTTGATCCATAAATAGAATAATTCCTGATATCTAATTTTTTCAAATTGCATAGTCTTTAATTCGACAGTTTAACGATTCCTTTTAACTCAGTCAATCTTTTGAAAGAAACTTTCATCAACCTCGGTTCGAATAATTATGAATAGGAAAATTGAATTATTTATTGGTTTGTAATCCTTTCGTTTATTTTTTGAAATCACACATTTGAATAGACATAACATAAACATATATTTGGAAATTTATCATTAATTTTATTCCTGTTAACAAAGTATTCTTTTTATTTATTAGGTGGAAACAATTTGGAAAAGGCTCCTCCCGGAAACATACAAGAATTTGTCAAAGAACACAATGGTCATACAGTCGTTACAAAAATTTTAATAGCAAATAATGGGATTGCCGCAGTAAAAGAAATTCGTTCTATTAGGAAATGGGTTTATGAAACGTTTGGTGATGAACGAGCTATTCAATTTACTGTAATGGCTACTCCAGAAGACTTGAACATTAATGCGGAATATATTCTCATGGCTGATCAATATATTGAAGTGCCCAGTGGTCCTAATAATAATAATTTCGCGAATGTAGAATTGATTGTTGATATTGCTGAACGAACAGGTGTTCATGCTGTTTGGGTCGGATGGTGAGTTATTTATGTACTATATTTATATTATTATTTATTCGTAATTTACCAGATTATATTATAGGGGTCATGCTTCAAAGAATCCACATTTGCCTGAATCACTTGCAAAAAGTAAAACCAAAATTGTGTTTATTGGCCCTTCAGCCTCCACAATTAGATTTCTCGGTGATAAAATATCATCAACTATAGTAGCACAGACGGCAAATGTGCCAACATTGGATTGGAGTGGTAGTGGTATTACTCAAACAGAACTTGATGAGTATGGTAATGTGGTTATTCCAAATTGTGTTTATGAGGATGCATGCGTTAAAGATGTAGAAAATGGTTTAAGTAAAGCGAAAGCTATTGGTTTTCCTGTAATGATTAAAACTTCAAAAAGTGGTGAGGGTAATTATATGCGGAAGG